ATGTCGCCAACTCGGTTGCAGGTTCAAGTTCTCTCGAAGTGCCAGGCGGCTGTCCGCTGATCTATCGAAATCATGTACCAACTGGCTTGTGAGAGAGAGGGAGACAGAGACCCAAATGAGTACCCATGCTCCTTATTTCACCGGCAAGCAACCCACCAAGTCCTGCCTGAGTCCTTGGACGCGGTCTCCGCCCGAATCTCAGTACATCAAACGAGCCACGGGAAAACTTACTTGCTCGAGGACAATTGCAGTATCCTCGATTGGTTCAAAGCTGCCCAAACTGGTCAATTTTTATCTCACACTGGGTCAATCACTATTTTGGCTGTTTGTGGCAACCTTCAAGCAAGAAACCACCGACAAATCCAAGCCGACTTTCAAAATTCGGTAGGGTCTGCGTCGCCCCGAAGGGTCCCGCAGAAGGGTATAGGGCTCCCGGCCAGTTCGTTCAGGCGGTTCTGCAGAGCTTTGAGCAGGTCGGAGCGGATCTGGGCAAAACGAAATCTGATCTCACTACGATCCTTGCGGCATATGACCCTTGTAAAGGGAAAATTGCACCCGATAGGAAATGAGGGATTGCCACGGGACGCACGGGCACCTTCCCACCGGAGATGAGCAAAACACAGCAAGCAGTCAGCTTGCACGGGTTTACGGCTCAATAGGAAACTGTACATTCTAAGTCTTGCAAAATGCCAAATATTGCTCTTCCAAGGCTTGCACATCAATCTCTGGTGAACTGCAGTCAACTCCCCCTCCCAGCATCGCGCCTCTTTCAAGACCACTTTCGGGAGATTTTTCGACTGCGGGCGAGTCGGCTTGCCAGGGCGGGGGAGCGGCGCTGGAGGTCCCGGGCCAAACGGTGGACATGCGTCCAATCTGAATGGCGACAGGTCCCCAATTGAAATTCACATCCCGATGAATCTGAGTTTCCACAAGAACAAGCAGGAAATGCCTCAGCATTGCAAATGGGGAAGAAGCCCTTGCAATTAAATGCCAAGAAAATAATGTGATCAAATCTTGGAGAAGGACTAAAAGACTAGCAGTAGACCAAAACAGGTAGCCAGCCAAAAATGATACGGCAAAAAAGCTTAGCCAGCCAAGAACGATAAGGCAAAACCACTGAGCAAAGCTTGCCTAGTATGCATCCAGGCTCTTTGTCTGTGCCTTTCAGAATATCATTCCGTCCAGAGGGGGCCTACTGCACATTGGCAACGACTGGCGAAGCTTTAAATCATCTCAGGATAAAGAAAAAAACATGGATTTGTTTGGTGCTTGTTCGATGGTGGCTACCTTGCAAGCAGGAATCCGCCATTCATCACAGGATCCCCCCTCTCAGCAACTGGCCGTGCCTGCTGCACACCTTTCACCTGAAGCTCATGCGCTGTGCGACTGGAATGACATCCCAAGGTACGTGGGTGCAAAACGGCGGCCGATCTTGATCATCCATCCGCCAGAAGTGGCACCCCTGAAGGAGTGGATCCCAGATTCCCGCCTTCCACATTAATTGCAATTGCGTACAAGTTTAGATTGACGTGACGTCCAAATGGAAAGCACTTAAAGCAAGATGATCATGGATTGTCTACCATTGCTGGTACTGAGTGACTGAGTGGGGGCTTGCCGTTGTAAAGGCAAAAGGAAGGCACGGGCTGACTGCGGCGGGTGGCAACCGGCAAAGCACATCACGTGACAAATTAACTATGCCCCAGCAGTGATTTAACATGCCCCAAACTATTGTCACGCAACCTAGGGATCTATGTGATTGGGGCCACCCCTGGGTGAGCTGGCTGAATCCTAGCAGTGTTACAAATGGCCTTGACTCTGAACAAGCAAGATGCACTAAACAACCCATATCTGGCAAGCACCCTGCCAGAAACAAGCTCCTTTGGACGACAAGCCCACCAATGTTCCAAATCACATGGACATTGTGGTAAAAAACAAAAAAAATGAACATCCCCCCCCCTTGCCCTTATCTTTATCGCTTCTTTATTCTGCTGCAACATGAGCCGGAAGCGCCTACAGAATGAGAGCGTCTAGTATTTCATGGTGCGAAATGTACAGGATATAAAAATAATGCCAAACGTAACAGCAAAGACAGTTTCAACCAAGCCCAATCCTGCGCTAACCAAACCTCCTGCAAAATCACCTAAGCAGGCCCAACCCTCAACTAGTCATGCATGCATTTTCCAGAACTCATATTATGTTTACTACTACAAATTGGGGTGACCAAAAGGCGAGACCCCCCCCCTTCGGTATTTTTTACAAAAGGCAGGTCGACCTTACTCGTTTCATAGAAGAAATGTATAGGGGGATGATTAGACTAGAAACCCTTTAGCGGTTGCCCTTAAGGAAACTGACCATCTATCTGGAAAGAGATTCGCAAAATCTACTGGCCCGAAATCAAAGCATGGAGTCTTCATGGGCATCTCAAAATGGAAAACCCCCCGTTCCAAAGGGAAACCAAAAGAAACCCGATCAACTCCTTTGAGACACGCGCGCAGAATCGCTCGCTCCCTTCCCTCGAGATCGCTCTTTCGGTGCGATGCTTTTGAGCCCCTGGCCGACACCACACAGCAGTCCGGGCTCGCCGCAATGGCCTCGGGACAAGGCTGGAAAGGCTCCCACAAAAGTTCCACTTGAGGCATGCAAACCCTTCTAGCACAGGCGCTCACTCCAGGCATTCCAGCAAGTTTGTCCTTTGCCCACTGCTCTTGCTGATGTTCAATCATTAACCTCAGAAACCTGGGTACAGTGCAGGTCACAAAAGGATAGGGATGGTTTCAAAACCAACCGCGTTCAAAGGCGGGCTTCACATGGACACACCCTTGAAACGTGCAATTGTCTGCTCACCCGAACAAGACCACAGCTGCCAGGCGTTTACGCCAAAACTTGAAAGCGGCGCAACTCTGTTCATGCCGGAAATGCAAATAGAAAGAAGCAAGTGGGCGAAATGTCGGGTGATGTAGCTACAGTAACCAGGTTTCCCCAGAGTGATCCCACCCCTGACCCAAGGCTCGTGTTGGGTCGCAACCAGCAAACCGCCAGCCGCGCCCGAGCGCGTCACCGTGAAGGGCTCCGGTGCGCCACAGATGGGGAAGAAGTTCAGCGAGCAAAACCTCGGAGATTCCAACGGTCGGACGATGTTTGTCTCAAAATACACCGGGGGTCGGGGTCCGGGTTGGTCTCCTCTCTCGGCTCACTGAGTTCCATCCAAAAGTGGTTCGCACACAGATCCGCTCCCTGCGGCATGTCAGTTCGGCTGAACTTGCGCCACAAAGGACGGGGGACAGGATGTGCGAGGAGTGCGAACCGACCCAACCCCCAAGTGACAGCACGGCAAGTCCAGGCTTGTAGAAGGAAGCTGTAAGCCCAATAACCTCTGACAACTCGCTTTGTAACTCAAGCCAAAGCCAGCTTGGCGTGGAATTCGACATTGCAAGCTCGGGGCCCGTTTCGATCCTTAAACTTAAAGTGGCGACCCCCCCCCATGCCCCTTTACCGTGTTTTCCCACATTCAACAGAATACAGACCTCTGCTGGTTGTTTTCCCCTTTTGCGAATGCTTACCAAGAAATACCAAGAAGTCACATTCTTTACCACCTTCTACTTTTTTGGCACATAGCTGGTTGAAGTTCTGCTTCTGCTTGCTGCATTTGAGCGCACAGGGAACAATGCTGGCAGGTGTGGCAGGGGCCGGAGTGGAAAATAGCTGGATCAGGGTCCAAATTCTTTGCAGAATGATATTCAACAAGTATCAAGCCCAGCAACTACGGAAGTGAGAAAGTGGTTTGGCAGCAGTGTGTCGAATGGGTTGTTGTGTCCTGGCCCGGCAGCTGCTTTGTATTTGAACCATGTTTGAGAACTTTGTTAAACTGGAACCCAAAAACATCTTTTGGGAATTGCTGATTTGAATTAACTAGAATATGCCCGAATGTGTTTCATCGGTCACGTGGGCAAGCCAACAAAGATTCTGCGCTGCTGCGGTTGCCATCCAAGAGAAAAAACTGCGCCTTCTGCGTTGTTTCGCCGTTCTTGAAGTCATGCAGTAAGTCGTAGGGTCAAGATCCAATTTAGCACAATGCCCTGCAAAACTGTGAAGTTCTGGATATATGTTCCAGTCCCCAGGCTGGTAGGGTCGCATCAATCGGGACGCTGGCAATGCTGGGGATGCTGTTCCCTAAACAGAGCGGGGGTTGTTCTTGCATGTTAGTCCTAGTCGAGGGCCTGACAAGTCGCCCATCTTGAGGGTGGCGATCGTGTCCTGAAATTCAAGCTGTGGACTGTCCAAATGCGCGTGGACCAACCTCGCGCAATCCTCTGATTTGCAAAAATGCAAGCCCAAGAATGGCAAAGTAAAGACGTGAAAAAAGTGTAGGTCAATGGTCAAGCAGGCTGCAGGTCTACAACCATATCTGCCCAGCCGTGAAAGAATCCATTCCTCCGTGAGGCAGCAATCATGTGTGAGGGCTTGTGAACAAAGCTTTTGGTGTTCCAACGACACCTTTGTAACATGGAAAATGTCAATATCCGAGGCCGGTTTTGGAGAACCAACGTGAGACCGTGGCAACTTTGAAGGCTCCAGACAGTTTTTGCGTACTCCCGTGTGAATAGCATTCTGGATGGCTCCCAAAGCGAAACCCCGGAAATGCAGTATCAAAACAAGGTTGTTTGAGTAAAGACACATACACACATAAACACAAACACAAACACAAACACAACACAAACACAAACACAAACACAAACACAACACAAACACAAACACAAACAAAAACAGACAAACAAAAACAAACAAACAAAAACAAACAAACAAACAAACAAACAAACAAACAAACAAACAAACAAACAAACAAACATTGCATCTTACAAAACAGCCACGCGAGCAAGTGCTTATACTGGTTCCGTGAGCCCCTGGGGCGCAAACAGGCACATTGCCCTCGTGAAAGACACACTACCAGCAACCAGAATCCCCAATGTCACATCACACGATCCCCCAAAACAAAGCGGGGCCTAGTGACTCAGTCTCGTCCGTTCTGACAACGACTGCCAGCCCCGGTCCTGGCTTTCTGGCAGCTCGCTCCTGCGAGAAGAGGCAGGTCGGATTCACGCATACATTGTGCATGCCCCCCCCCCTATCCTTTTGCTGCTTATTCGATGACACAGTTTTTCCCTCCCTATCGTTTCGCAGTGATTGTTCATCTTGGCAAACCAAACGGCTCCAAAATTGCCATGCTTCAGTACAAGTCCACGATTCCAGCTCCAAAATTGCAATTGTTCAGTACAAGCGTGGCCCACGAAGTGCACTTCCGCAGCTCCAGCCGCAGATTGGGAACTCCAGCTCCACAAAGCATGATCGTAACGTTTCGTCCTTGTTGTTTTACAGGGTTTTGAGACACATCGCCACCCAAAGCCACCCTCAATTGGGAGCTAGTAAATAACCCCCAAATGGAGTCTTCTGTTGCCCTGAATAACCCCTGCATTTTTTGTACACAACCAATATTCTAAAGGGTCCGGAAGACTGCAGATAAAAACCTGCTACAGCACCGAAAGTGAGCAAAGGCATCCCAGAAGGAGGTCCTAACTCCTTCACAAGCAGTATGTCAGGATGTATAGTGTAGAAGACTAAATCAGACTCCCGGTGCGCTTCTTTGTTGTTTCTTATGTTTCCCGCTTTGACCTCACACAACCAACAGAAACTCACTTAAGATTGGCCTGACACAAAGAAGTGATGTCTAACTTGGCTCAAAAAATGTTGGGATATCCAAGCATTGTGGGATGTGTTCAGGGAATTTCGAACTGAACCAACTTTATGTGGGTCTCCGTTTCCTGTACTAGGAGATCCATCAAATTCTTGGACAATATTCGTTGTTGCCGAGGAGGACATGGCTCTGGTGAGTGGGTCCCTATCCTCAGTGTTGAACACACCTGATGTGTGTGCGTGTGGCAAAAGGAGCGAACCTGTTGGTATCATGTTGGCGCCCTTTCAAGAGCTGTCCTACAAGAGAGTCACTAAGACTCAACAAGAACACGAACACACACACACAGACACAGACAGACACACAGACACAGACACAGACACAGACACCCTGGCACCCTGGCACCCTGGCACCCCGGAGAAGTCGCCTTCCCGGTGCCCAGTACGTGAGTGCGCCTCACCAAAGGGTCCAGGATGATCTTGGCGGACATCGGCCGAGTAACCGAGCCTCGCGAGAGAGAAAGCAAACTCGTGCCCCACAAATGCCGGCTCCCGTTTATCGCTGGTCGATGTCAAAAGGAAACCCACTCAAAAACAAGTCTAGCCGGGTGCTTTGAAAAGGACACCCACAAGGATGGTGCAACCCACCGGCGGCCTGGACAAAACACACACTTCTCCTTTTCGCTGCTTCGAGGAAAACCCCATCTTACAAAAGAAAAGCTGCCGACTTTGAAGACCAACCAGTCTCAGGCAAAAACAAACACGAGAAAACACCCGGAGAGCCTGGGACCGTGAAACGGGCACCCGGCCGGTCGCCAGGTCCCGAGACAGCCAGGGCCTCTCCCGGTCGCTCCAGGTGTCGTGGCCCACATACTCCGGGCTGCCGGGCCTGGATTTCAAACAACTGCCATCCCTTTTTCACAAGTGAACCAGACAAGGACACCAAAATATCACTCAAACACCCCAAATCACTCGATCAGAATGGTCCAGACCCGTGGAAGTGGGAGGGTTTTGCTTGCCTTTCTGCCACGTTGATTGATCACATGGTGTTTCTTTTTTTCTGCTTGTGATCCGCAACAAGGTCGGCTGAAACGTTGGCAGTGGTCCTTGCAGGGTAAAGAAATACTGGGCATTTAGAACATCACCATGACCGACTTACCAGGTAGTTTAAATGTGTCTTCCTTTGAACGCAAATCATGCTTGCGAGCTTCCTGTAAGGAATCTGTTTAAGACAGTCTTTCTTAGATGACATGCCAATATGCTGATAGCTCAAGATCACGAGATACGCGGAAATCTAAATTTCATGGGAACATCCTCTTTCAGACCATCCAAAACCCCACTTTTCAAATCAATGGAGCCATCAACTTCTTGTGGGCTCTGGCTCTGAGGTGGAAGAGAAACCAATCCATATCCAAAGTCCACCACTGACCGTCAAATGCCCCACCCCCAACACGGCAACCAAACTACGCATTAGAGTCGATTTCCTTTTGACACTGGCAATCCACCGCAACCCATTGGCCAGGTTGAGATATACAACGCCTGAACGTGGTTGTTTTGGACCGGGCTCACCAAGGCTAAAACGAGCTCACTCATGTTGAGGGGGCTACCTGAAGTGGAACAATGGGTCTGGATCCCCTGAGTTTGACGGCGAGGCGTTTCGGGCGAGCCTGGCGGCCTGCAGCCTCTGGACCTGGGTCGAAACGGCGTGCCCGCGCCCGGTTGGGCGAATCAGTGTACCCCGCTTCTCTTGTGTCTGCTCGTAGCTTTTGTTTCTTCTGGAAAAACCGGATTTCCCTTTCTTGAGCCAGAAACATTGCCTAGAGTTCAGCAATCCACCCATTATGTCCCCGTGGTACGACCCTGGATACTGTAAAGGGAGTAAATGGGAAGTACAATGGACGCGAAGGGCCGGCTTTGTAAACAAATTAATTGTTTGAAGTGAGTAAACTCCTTTGATAATGGAGGTCTTGGACTTGGAATTATCAGCACCCTGCAAAAAATGTGTTCGCTCCAACGGAAGTCCTTTTCTGAGAAAAGCTTCTTGCGCTTTATCCTATGTGCCACCTTGCCGGAGACGGGCCCTGGGCAACATTTGTTTGCTTCCCCAAAAGGGTGTGGGATACAAAATTATGGGATCCATTGGTTTTTAGCGGGTAAACATTTGAGACCGGTCCTTTTTATCCTCCCAACGCGTACGCTTCCCAGATGATACATTGACCCAAAAAGCACTGCCTCACCACTGCACTGAGACTCGGGCATGCTCCAAAAGCTCCTGATCCGAATGATGAAAGCCCCTCTTGCTGAAGATATCAACTAGCCGCTGCTGTTCAACCAGTGTGCATTCAGGACCCCTGACATACGAGAGCCTAGCTGACCAAAGATCTAGCGCTGAAATCAGCACGAAGGCGAGGCAGACATGTGGCCGATCTGTGGGCCACCCCGCATTCCTTGCCTTAAGTTCGTGCGAGAGAACGTTGCTTCCATCGGTCACGTTGAGTTCTGCGGGAAGGCGGGCCTTAATCTTCTCGATCTGCTCAGGGCTCCGAGTATCCACATCCTCCGCCTGACACGAGCAGCGGGGCGGCAAGTGTAGATATGATCCAGGGTTGCTTGTACATACCCCTTTTACATACCCCTTGGACAAATGAACCCAAAAGGCCTGCTGATGTTCATACCCCTCTCCCCCAAAGGGAATATGCCCCTTCTGAAGTGGGTTGGAAACCACGGAAGCCAAGGGGTATGAACAAGGGGTATGTACTTGCCCCTTAGATATGAGGATGACCTAGCCCACGTTCGGGCCGATCTCGGAAGGGAAACCAACATGAAACCGTTGCAATCTGAAAAGACTCTACGCTGATTTGGCATATGCAGATGGCAAAGCTGCGGCATCAATCATGATCCAACACAAGTCAAGCCTCTTTCCTCGACCTCAACGTCAGCTATCCCAATCCGAACGCACAGGACTACAATCTGAGTCCTTTACTCCTGTTGACAATTCACTGGTTTCGAACCCGTTTTGAAACCCGGCGGCTCGCCTCAGGTTGTCAAAACGATGGACGGTGCTTTTTGGCCCGAAATAGACTGGGGTACAAAGCCTTCCGCTTTTCACGCGGACCCGCCTGCCGAGGCTTCCATTCCGCCGCTTCTTCTTCCCTGCAGCGATGGCACGGCACTTGTGCAAAGCAAGGGAACCGGATGCAACTTGGTCGGCTTTCAGCCTTCAGACAGAGCACTTAGGCCTTGGGGCCCAAGCCAGGGGAAGGAGGTCAGCTGGAATTGTTGGTTGGACTCTCGGCCCTCACCCTGAATGGATGCCCCTTTGAGAAAAGGAAGCGCGCCATGGGGTCCCGTTCTTTGGGCGGAAGCATCCGGGTTTGCCTTCTACAACCAGTACTTGACTTGAACAACTTCTCACCTAGAGTCCCAGTCAACCAGTGCCAGTCCTGGGATCCCTCGGGTTCGGATCCCTCGGATCCCTCGGATCCCTCGCCTTTGCTGGTCCCTCTCCCGCTTCCGCTCGAGGGTGGTGTCCAGGCGCGCCTTCAGCAGCACCTCTCGCGCCCGAAGCCACAGCGACACCCTGAGGCGCTTGTATATCCGCTCGCTTCAGTTGGCAGCTCCGATCAAGCCGCAGGCTTGGCAGGTTTCGTAGCAGCTGAATCAGAGCCAACTTTCATATCACCAACCAACATGGAATTCACACACAGTTGCAGCTGGGTGAAGGTAGACGCCCTGTTTATGCTGTCAAAAGGAGTTTAGCTCTACAAAGACCACGGTTCAAGCCATTTGAGGGTACATTGCGCTGGTCAAGGTGAATCAAAGCTCGAGATTCGCGCCATCGTTCACCCGCAAAAGGGCTCCTCCATGCGCTAGATCTCCGTTTCCCCGCTCCGCCTTGTGGTGGCGAACTTTGGCCTCCTCTTCGGACAAGCCCTTGAAGTGCGGGATGAAATTCTTTGGATCTGGCAGAAGGCGGGCCGGCTGAGTCTATGCGTGCGCGCTCGCTTCGGAGTGGCTTGCCGGCTCGGCCCGGCTCGGCCCCGCTCGCTCACCGTGCCGTGTCACCCGCCTTTCAGGTACTCAGCTTCCATCTTTTGGCGCATGCTGCCCTTCAGCGCCGGCGGCAGGCCGATGCACGGCCTTCACACGGATCTCAGATCTCCCCGTTTCCAGCGTGACGGTGAGCCAGCTTCGCATATGCCTGAAACCGGTACCTGGTATATACACAGGGCAAGATGTGAAAGGGTGTCGCTGCTTCTTAAGCTGTGAGAAGGTGCGAGCCCGTTTAGGAGACAAGAATAAGTTTCAGCCACGGTTGCCGCTTGTTGTTGGCTTGCATGAAGAAAATACTTGGAATGCGAAGCAGGCGGTGCGTCTGCGTTTGCTGGAGGACCTTTTAAAAGCAGGGGGTCTTGGCTACGCCCAGGCTGCTATGACCTGTGGGCTTTTGTTGCCATGTCTTTTTCGGAACCAACCAGCACAACTTAACAACACGAGTTCCAATGGACAACGATTCACCCATCTATTAGGAGGCTTTTGGAATGTTCGCAGCCGACTGGTGACTGCTCTTGGCGCACTGGCATTTCCAGATGTGGCGATTTTACGCGTTCAATGCCTTGGAGTCAGAGGCTTAGCGGTCCAAAAAAATAGTAAACAGTCCTCAGCCTTGCACGACCAGGCCGACCCCCGCACAGGGTCGACCACCCCCATCGTCACAGAGGATCGCAACCCCTTGTGATGACAGCAGCCCTTCCCCCGGCCAAAACAGAAGAATCTACTTGCCGAGCTCTCTCACGCGCGTTAAGAGTCTTCTTTATAGAAACTTAAGCTTGGCTTACATAGCTTCCCACGCCGAGCCTCTGCACTAGCTCTACCCAAGAAACCGACCCAAGGCAGCCAGCATTTCACCTCCAAGCTCTTGACCCGAGACTCTTTACGCAAACTGCTCTACCCAAAACAACAGCACACACCCATTGACTTTGAAGGGTTGAGGCAACACTGGGGAGAATGTGTGCAAAGCCTCTTGCTGCATGGGAGGCCCCAACACCATCGTGTGGGCTGCTTCAGAAAGACATCCTGAGGGTTCAAGTGCCCGTGCCCACCATCTTTGGGCTGCCCGGCAGGCCCTGCTCATCCACGTCAGGCTCGAAGGACCTCCCAAAAAAGGGCAGGGACCAGTTGATCTATGACCAGTTGATCTATGGTTTGGGCTGTGAAATGGCCCTACCAGGCTGGCAACAAGACTAGCTTGCTTAGCAGATGCGACGGCCATGGAGGTTGTCCTGAAAGGCTGAGATGTGAAACAAAGTCATTGGACCCACTTGCTAATGATTTTGCAGTGAAACCCGCAAGAACTTGCCAGTTGGCATGTGGGTTCCTTCTGTCTCGGAGGCTTCAATCTTGGCGGCCCCCCAAAGTTGCCTGCAGGAAAAGTCGAGGGAACCAAATCAGCTGCTAGGTTGCTCATTTTGAAGCTCCGCCCTCCTCTTCAAGCTAAAACAGCCGAGATATCAGGCGTTCATGGAGCGACACAAGCCTTGCCTGAAGTGGAGAGCATTGCTTTGCCGTGTCAAGCACCGGGAAGGCAGGTGGCCACAGCCAGAGAGCAGGGGAGAAGGGGGGAGAAGGGGGGAGAAGACGGGAGGACGGAGAGCGCCCTTCACTGCCCAGTCCCACATGGCGTCAGAGATCAAAAAGAACCATTTCATGCTTGACGCGCAACGGCGTAACGCTGAGCGCGCCAAGAGATCGCCAAGAAGATCCATCCCCATAGGTTTCCTAAAGCTCTGTGTCCATCTCAAACTTTGAGCGCCTACCCTGAACGGAAAGAGTTAGTCTTTTGAGGGCAAGTTGCATACTCACAGTGTACTTGCAGGCCACACCTTCCCGTATAAAAAGGGGGGGGTCCCTCTCTTTCCAGGGGATTCGCCGGGACTTTTAAAAATCAGGTCTGGCAGTGGCGCCCTCCCTTGTCAAGAGTGCTCTGTCGGCACTTGCACCGCACATCATGAGACAAAACAGGAGAAGCTTGTGCTGCGCGATAGCCCCACAGCTTCAAGCTCAGATAGGCCTCACAGCGGACGAGAATTGCTCTCCAACACGACATGAGTCCGACACGACAAACGCAACGCCTTTCGGCCGATCTCGGAATGCTCACATCCTGCCTTCCGTACTCCGGCAGCACCGATGGCACATCCTGAAGCCAGGTGGCACACCCGCCTTGCATCCCAGCTGGGCACAATGCCAGTTTTGGCATTTGCAGGGCAGCCCAGCAAAGCCTCAAATGCCCGGCATTTCTTGAGGGAGACCTATGCCACAAAAGGGAAACAAGTGGAAGCCATTGGACACCACAAGGCCAAGTCCTTGGTCGTCATCTTTGTCGGCTTGCCTGGCGGAAAAGCTATCAGCTGGAAAGTAGATGGCACCTTTCTGGGAGGATTCAAATCATGTCCCGGAAACGGTGCAAAGTCTCGAAACTGGAAATCCACGGTAATGTTGGCAAGCAAAGGGAACTGTTATCTCAAGAAGCAAGTCATGCCTTCTGCGGCCCAGTGTAGTTGTCTGGCTGATTGGCCAGCAGGGGTGCCAGGCGCTTCTCTTTTGCCCGGCACGCGCAACATTAAACGGCCGGCAAGATGAAGTTGGCGAAACGAGACTCACCAGCAGTGGGAACTTATGCAGCGACTCGTCTGCGATCAATGTGGTCTGGCCAAAGAGGCCGGGTTCATGACCCCCCCTCCCAAGAACAAAAACGGTATGCTGTACACGGAACCCAGAGCCAAAGAAGTTGGGTTCACTGTATACATGAACCCTTTTTTGGGCGCGGTCTCACTCAAGCCGAAAAGTTTGGCACCCGGCCTGCCAAAGGCCGCGTGGCGAAGACGTAGGCTGGGTTAGCCCCGGATCGCCTGCACTGTACTGAGGGGATCCTCAGGCAACAGAAAAGGGAACAATGTTATATTGATTGACAACAGTAGTCGATGCATGTACCATTTTGACTGCGCCGGCTCCCACAAAAGTGCTAAAATCTCAGAAGTGCAGTTTGACTGAGCAGGTTCGCTATTTTGTGGCACGGAGACGGAATTGTGTTGTGCCGTCCGAGCTTGCCAAGCCGTGCAGTTGTAGACCCTCTGAGGACTTTGGGTGGGTGGGATATTTTGCCACACCTAAAGACAGCAGAGAATTCCCTTGTTGCCAACACTTATCCAAAGTTGCCTGATGAAGATCAAGATCTGTCCCTCATATAATTTTGCTACGTTGGCTCTCTAGAGCGCTCCGCGTGCATGGCCCTTGCTTTGAAGCGTTTCGGGCGCCTGAATCTCCGCAGCTCCACCCGGCCCTGCTGCACCATCCACACCGCGGGCTCCAGCCTCGAGGTTTTCGCAGTCTCTGGTTGGAGTTCTCAAGTTCAGACAAACCTACATTGACGCAAGATGACAGCAAGGGATTGTGAAAGAGACTCGTCAAGTTGGTTACCCTGTTACGTAATGACCGATCAAATTCAGAGCATACCTTGAATACCCGCATCACATGTCCATAACTCCATGGTACATATCATCGCCTCCCCCTCCCCCCATGAGTCCATGGTGCCCTGCAGATAGATCCGGGGCCGTGGCAGCTCCATACCCTCCTCCAGCAGCTTTGCCCTCAGCGTTCAATTGCAACAGCCAGCCGTCTTGGGTCTTGGGTCCAAGTTTCCAGGACAAAACACTGTGTCACACATGTCTCTCACAGGAAACCCCGTTCCAGCCGTGTTGGTTGCAACACCCAGGTGTTTCCCTCGATCGGAATGTCCCAGGTGTCCGCACCCCTCCGGCAGGAAC